GCTAGACAAAGTATTAAGATCAAATGCCCCAGACAGTGGAAAGGGATCATGGTCAGGATGGAAAACTAGTTCAAGATCATAATTGCCAAGAAGTAGTATATTAGATATCAATTATATAATCAAAGATACTAACACTCTTTCAGGCCCAGAAGGTGAATTCTCCTTCCAGTCTCCAGGGGTTGAGCCCTTTATCATTCTTAAGTAATATTTAATAAACAAAAGAATTAACCTGCAGCCTTCAGAAGTGATACATTTGTCTTTAGAATGCTGAGAGCCAGACTGAAATAGCTTGTCTGAGTAAAAATAAAATTGCATTAAAATGTGAAAGGAAAAATTCATCATTGTATGGAGCCATGGAGATGACCTTGAAGAAACCATCCAGAAGCCGTTAAGACAACAACAGGTGCAGAAGCATGTACTGACCCCAAGGAGGTGGGAAAATATAGCTGTACTCTTCCTGTAGAGTCAGTTTCCTGATCTGGTCTACAGGTGGTCCTTGACTTATGACTATTCTTTTAACAACCGTTCAAAGTTACGACAGCACTGGAAAAAGTGACTTACAACCATTGTGGCATCCCCTCAGTTGCATGATCAAAATTTGGGTGCTTGGCAACCAGCATGTATTTATGATGGTTGCAGTGTTCTGGAGTCATGTGATCACCATTTGCAACCTTCCCAGGAGGCTTCTGACAAGCAAAGTTAATGGGGAAGCCGGATTTGCTTAACAACCATGTAATTCACTTAACAACCATGGTGATTCACTTAACAACCACAGCAAAAAAGGTTGTAAAATTGTGCGCAACTCACTTAATGACTGCATTGCTTAGCAACAGCCCATGTGCTGGCTTCTTTCTGCACCATCAGCAGCCTGTAGCACAAGGAGTCCCACACAGGCAGGAGAATCCAAGTTGCTTCTGTTTGCACAAGTAAGTACCTTTTCATACCCATTATATTTTGAATAAATCATTTTTTTATCATTAACTGAGATACTAGCACAAAACATTAATTGTAGAGGAAAGAGATCAGAGTTTTTCAGCTACACACTTTTGATCATTCCGAATGTTGAAAATATACTGGTATGAGGCTAAATCAGAAAGGAGCAATTTGTTAGCATTTTAAAGACTTAGAGTGCAGACCTAGTCCATAGCCCTGGATGCATGCTGCTTACCAAATAAGTAGAATCAGGGAGGTTTGCCTCATAATCTGAATTTCTTGTACATAAAGACCTAGTAAGTTCAATAATGCAGTACTGAGTAGAGTTCTCAATTCTCTAAAACACTGATTTCATCTGCTGCCCACCCTGGTTACTCTGAATTTGTTCAGCCTGTCTGTATCTCTACTGAGTTTGTGAATTCTTCACCTTTTTGGATTCAAGTTGCTTCAAATAGCTGCTTCTGCTAACAACTGGGTCAATGTATTTTTTTAAGGTCCCTTTCCTGTCACTATCCATCTCTATATTCTGGGGAAAATAAATCATCTATTATTTAGAACATCATAAAGGACACTGGAATGAACAAAAGGTGACTCAAAGACACCTGGAAAATACACCTTCAACTTTCTACACTTCAAATGAAGACTACATAAGCAGACAAGAGGTAGAGGAGAACTGAGAAATTTTCAATCCTTGAGAACTTATGTTATTATCTCAAGAAGGCAAAGGTGGAGGGTTCATTTGAAGGACCGGTTCATCTAGGTTAGTCACCCACAATTTCCAGTCCTAGCTAGAACCCTATATGCTAAGTGCCCATTCTAAGGGCCTTTACAACCCTATTACTAAATGCCTGTTCTCAAATAGCCAAAGCTTTTCCTTTCATTAAATCTCTTAGGAGCCTCAAGGTTTGCAATAATACCAATGATCTTTCAGGGAAAATATAACTAAAGGAATGAGGGCCAGCAAAACAATCTGAGGTGCCTGATTAAGCTCAATGGGCATAACATGATCCAGCCAGTGAATGCAATGGAAAAGATGGAATGGATCATCCTGAAAGAAGATACTGCTGACGGAACTCAAGACCCACTTTTCCACTAAGCCGACTTAGATGATCCCAAGCCAACTTGGAAGTGAAAGTCAGCCACTGAAAAGTATAGTAACATACACTTAAAAATTAGGAAGTAGATCTTGGGGCTAAGTATAAAGACCAATACAGATTTGTACATCAAAAGAAAACCAATCTTTAAAAGCATAAATGTGACCCTGCACATTTCCAAGGACCTGAGGAATGTTGAGTATACAGAGATGAAAATATTGGAGTAATTTACCTTATTGTGACAGCCTTTGCCTATCATCTTATCCTAGAGTGTCCATTGAAGGAGGGAATACTAAACTTTCTTGTGTTTGTGAACAACCTCTAAGCAAACAAAGAAAATCCTATTTATAAAAGAAATATACTTTGCATGTGGCCAGGCACAGTTCGGACTTAGGTTAATCTTCATTCCACTCTCCCTTTTTATTATGCTTTAGTTGTGGACAGGAACTATCCAGATGCTAAGATGCAGTCAGAGATGTAAATGAAAATCAGCAACTTTCTATATCCCTAGAGTTTTGACTGCACCTGACTTTAGCTGGGACCTATGGTCTGACCATATAGTCTGACAGAATCCACCCCACACATACACACTATGAGCCAAGCCTATATTGTACTAGGAACCTTGCCTTCAGAAATGCTATGCCCACTGCAATAAACCCAAACCTCAGCAGCTTTCTTCTCCACAGATCAGAGCTTCAGGCCTCAGCAGTGTTCTGCTACCATATCTGACCTGTCATACATCAGATCCTCAGCCCTGCAAAAGGTCAGCTGTATTGATCTCTCAGGTTGTCAACACTCACATTAAGCAAAGGCTAACAAGACAGGGAGGAACGAGTGCCAGAATTGGTTTTCATCCTCAGATCCTGGCTGTTGATCCACAGTCTTAATTTACCCACTTCCATATAAATCTTAGCTGGATGAACCACCAAAAGAGACCTTGTGCCTGAAACAACTAATGGTAAAGATTAGGAAATAATTGCACAAGAATCCCAGCCTCCACTATGCAAAGGGGTAGGGCAATGGGAAAATGAGGTATCTTGAATGGAAGGAGAGCCTTCCTTAACCAGAGACTTTCCAAATGTGTTAACCTACAAGTCCCTCTAGAAAGAGCAGTGCCTACCCAGGATGTAGCAATGGGACTTGTAGTCTGATACAGAAGGCAACCTGTTGGGGAAGAATGGCTTGGGGACAGCATAGAAAACCGACAGGGATCAAGTTGTTGAGAGAACCCAAGAGTTGTGATATGACCATGAAACTATACCTTATCTTTCTATCCTATTCTCCTTCCATGTCCCCCCACCCACCCAAGTTTGGACAAGATGATAAATGCCTCAATTAGTAAGCAGATTTTGCCAATCGATCCTCTGAAGCATTGGTGGTCAGGTCTGATCAATGTCCCCAATTATGCATTATAACAGGCATCCAATGCATACCTGTATCTGGCCCTATGCAACCTAGAAATATTCCTTACCCTTGTGTCTTTTGAGGTCTGGTCAGAGCTGAAGACACGGGAGAGCCTTCACTGACTGGATGAGATTGTAGTCAAGGATCCCATTGCCTTTCCTTAACTGAAGAGAAGGAAATTGTAGGAGGGACAAAATGCTTCTCTCCCTACCCTGAAACTCAGAATGAAGCCCAATAATATCCCCAAACTGCAGAAGTAGATGAATCAAGCTGTTTCCTGAGGCAAGTGAGAAATGCTCCTAAATGCTCAGATGAAGAAGTCTGAGGAATGGGCTTAGCCTTCAAATTACTAAAATAGACATTTATGACTGAGCAACTGATAAGATGAACATTCATAGGGGATGTTCACTTTTGTGGGATGAACTTATGTTATGTTATGGATCTGAGGTTGCACCTATGTTTATTTTTATACACTGCTGGCTGCTCAGAGTCACTGTAGTAAGTTGGGTGGCCATACAAATCGACTAAAGAAAGAAAGAAAAACTAGTTTAGAGAGCATCTGTCTTTTAACCTGGGCAGTTGCTGTAAGCAGAATCATTGGGAAAACATTCCAATGTCTGTGTCTCCTTTTCTCTTTAATTTGATTATGTTGCGACACAGCTTCTTTACATGGCTCCATTGTCTATTATTATTCCATTTGTGTTCCTGTTATTCCTCCAGAATGAATTGGCTATTGAAATGGTCTTTCTGAACATATTTCAAATAGCTGAATTCTACTTGTCTATGTCTGATCATCGCAGGAAATGTCAACAAAGAGGTGAAAGAGAAAAAGAAGGAAGCACTTTTCCTGAAACAGGGGCTTCCAAAGACAATGTGTTGCCTGAGAAATAATATCACAGACCATCCCACCACTATCACTGCTCTAAGTCAAACTGCATAATAGCCAAAACTGGCTAAAATATTTTACCTTTAGCATCTGATATACAAAAACATATAAAGTTCTCCCCTTCCCCAACTAAAACCAGTCCTGCCAGAACAGCCACCTCTCTCTACTTTCTGGCAAGGCCAGCTTTGACCATATTCCACGTTCTCCCCTCCTCTAACGGTGAATGGTTAGGTCCACTGGGGTGAATCCCAATTCCTCAAGGAAGCAGTGCCTTAGAGGGGCACATTACCTAAAAACGCTTTTAAAACAGTTTGGAATTCTTCTATTAAAGATTACTTAAAAAAAAAGAATCGTACCAGATCTAGGCTGCAAAAATCAGGATGACCATTAGATGGCAGCAAAGAGATACAGAAAGGACCATTTCTTTAAAAAAACATAGATAATATAACCTTCTACCAGGTCTGGGCTGTGAAAATTCAAAGGACCAGTGAATGATAGCCAATAGCTATAGAAAACTCTTAGCTCATTTCTGCAACCTAGCGGTGTTTGGATCTTTGCAATCCAGATCTGGAGGCCCTCAATACGCGAACCAAAATCTCTGAGCTGAATTAATCGTTGTGTTAATCATATTATGAAGCAGGATCTCAGCCAAATTAAACTCAGCTCTGTGGCGATACGATTACCTGGATTTTTCAGTGTCACAGTGTGTCACTGCATTCCCTCAGCATTTCCTCCAGCCTAGGCTGTGATGGATGTCTTTTCCCGGCAGTGCTGGGAGGTCAGCATCAAAGCTGTCCAACTCGACTGCAAGAAAATTTACAACAGTGGTGAAATAGCCACTACGAGCAATGTTAATTCATTACATGGGTATCCCAGCCTTCCTCCAGGGAGCTAACAGCAACATGTATGTTCCCCCCTGTGAGTGTGTCTAGTCCGAGGTCACTGAGTAATTTTCATGTTTGAGTAAGGATCTGAACCCAGATCTGATCTCTGGCATGTTCACCACAATGCATCATGACTGGGTTCACATATCACATTTGGTCATAATGTAATTTGTTTTACTTAGCATTCTATGAGCAGAACCACTGGGCAGCGTTAACCATGGTTCGTAGTTTTAGCATGATGCAAGAACTCATGTTAATTGTATTCAGTTATTAAGGTTAAGCAAATCAAGCCATATCTTAGCAGTGAATGTGGATGATTCATGGCCAGAACAGAACAAGGGGATCCACTGTGATGGATATGAAGGAGAGCTGATATGTGAGAATCAATATCTACCACTGCATATGCTATTTCTGCAAATGAGCATAAATGAAAAGATGCCACCTGCAAGTCATGTGTGTATGAGTCTCTAAGGCATATTTTGTGATGGAATCATCACTTCTTATAATTCGACTTTACTTCAAATGCTTCAGTGAAAACAGCAGCCTTGGGTCACCGTTCTTACACATCCCTGCTATTGTGCTGTTGTTTCACACAGGTAGAGGCTCCCTTTCAGATCAGTGGTGGCTGCTGCTGTTGCTGCTGCTGCTGGCAACTAAGAAACACATAGGAGGAGATAGAAGGAAATTCAATACTTTGCTGTTTCAAGGGTAGCAGTTCTGAGCCATCCATGACATTCATTTCCTCAGGGAAGAAATGGAAGCAGTGCCACACATTCATCCACCAGCTTGAAGCAGTCTGTGACATCTACAGGATAAAAGAAGAAATCCCAAAGTACTGCAATTATTAAACCTCAGCTAAATGTGCAATATATCACAGGAGAGAAGCAATCCATGTTTGCCAACCCACAGCATACATCTGTTACACAAGCAAACTATTTTCCAATATCGGGCTGTGTATTCAGAGGGAAACATCCTCCATGACTGATCAAAAATGGAAGACTGAAATTAGAAGAGATAAAAACCAAAGGGAAGGGCAACTTTCAAGCCAGAGTGGGACTAAAAATGGCTTCAGACTCACACATGTAACGATCGAAGCAACTAGCAGCAGCATCAGAAATGGATGATTTCATTTTTAATAAACACACAGAGAAAGATCTTTATAAGATCTGCCCCCCTCTGTACTATCACCCTCCAGCCTTTTTCCAGAAGATCACATCATTTTTTTCTAAGAATGACTCCAAAATAAATTTCTAAGAACAATTTCTAAATACATTTTATTCTATAAAGTATCCCTAGTTTAATTCTTGCTTTTTGTTTTGTTTTTACAAACATTAACTAGAATGATAAGACTCAGTTAGCAAATGGTAGCCTCATTTGCTTCCACCATTTCCTTATATGTATGAAATTACCCTTTAATTTATGCATTTTATTTTGGACTGTATGGCCTGAAATACACTCAGGGTCTCAGAGACGCTTACAGCTTCTCCACTCCCAAGCGCACTTAGATTCACATGTGCAGATGGAAATACACCATATTCCAATTTAAACAATACTTAAGATTTCTTCAACATGTATTTATAACAGTGTGGAAATCAGTATGTGCATGTACAGCCTTTGTATGCAAAATACACGTGTGAGTTTAAAGTATAAACTCTGTACACACCTATGATACTTTTCTTCACCACAGTGGTATTTGGTGTGATTTTAATGATATATTTTTGTTTGTTTTTATTTCCTTGTTTTTGTATTTTGTGGCTTTGAATAGGGAAACTGTCTTCGTAGTAGAGGGGCAGGGTAGAAATAAAGCATTTTTATTTTATTTTTCATTCTTACACTTATACCCATGCACCTTATATAATTTTCTGTCACAAATACATCTGTACATACATCCTACATTGATGTTCCTTTTGGTGATCATAACATGCATTACATACGTACACTTTGCTTTTGCAGACAGTAAAATAGATTGGTTGCTTTATTCTTCCCTCCCAAATGCACCCATTCACTTGTGCACAACTTTTACACACCATTACACTTGTTCTTCCTTCCTTCTGATAGACTGAGTTACATGGTTATAATTCTGATATGCACACTCAGAGATACATAGTGCATTTCACACTGTAGGCAAATTTCATTCTTTTATACCCCCAGGACTGGAGGGCCCACATCTTATAGACTGCCTACGATATATACATCCGCACAGGCAGGTGAGCAAGGGTGAGGGTTTTTCTTTATATATGCACAATGTAGATCCCTTCCTTTCACCAGCGTAGCACGCCCACCCCAGGGGGCTAAAGATAATATAAAGGGGCTCCTGCCTACTCCGCGCTGTCACGTCGGCCTGTCAGTCGGCTGGTAATTAATGCGAACTGCGGGTCCAGCGCCCCATCGGAGTCGTATATCACTGCCAGCTCCCGTGCGGCAAAGCAACCTCTTTTACCCAAGCACTGTTATTTGGGGAATTTTCTATGTATTAGCTGTTGATGCACATTAATACATTAAAAATGTCAGCAGTGGAGGCCAGCTAATTGTCTGATTTAAATGTCTATTTGTCAGCGCACGGCTCAGGTGGGCATGAGCCGAATCGGGAATGAAGCACGGAACCTGTCTCGGAACGGGAGGGGGCGGCTCTTGCCGGAGCGGGGCCGCAAGATGATCGATGGCAGAGACATGCAGCCCAAAATGTTTGCGTTTCTGCTCGGCTTGCCTTGGCGCATGGGGGGGAGAGAGGTGGGGAAGAAAGGAGGCAATGCAACAAGGAGACAGAGGAAGCTTTTAGGGAGGTGGACTGCCAGGCACAAAGTTTCCAGGTACTCTGCAGCACCACGAGGAGGGAGAGGGGCCCTCCAGGGAGAAAGCAAAGGATGGTTGCTGCTGGGGCCAGAAGTCTCTGTTTCCTCCAGCACAAGCCTCCAGTTACAATACCCATCACCCGTGACCATTGGCCTGGCTGCCTGGGCCTAATGGGAATAGGAGTCAAGCAACATCTGGCAGATCTCCTCTGACTCTAGGGAGCTGGAGAATTGGACCAATAATTCTCTGGATTGGCTCCATCAGGAAGCTCCTTGTTTTGTTTTGCTGCTCTGGTTAGCATCATGGGCTCTGTTAGCCCTTTCAGGAAAAAGAGCACAACCAACCATCAGAAGGTATTGTTGCAAGGTAAGGTTGGCCTTAGCTGGGGAAAGGTATCATCTGAGACAGTTTTTTTAGCCATGGAGCACTGAGTGGAGCACTACGGCTTGGAATATGCTCTCTTAATGATGAAGAACATAAGTGCTTCTAAACATGTGCAGAGTGCACTCAACCCTACACCTGAGGATGGGAGGTAAGGGGGTCTTCTAGGCAAATGTGAATCTCAAAACTCCTCTTTTTAGCAGCGAAGTACTTCCTGAAGCAAGGCCAAGCTAGAAACTCAATACGATTCAAATATTTTACGTGCCTTTGGATTACACCAGCCTCCAACAATCTTTTGTCCTTCAAATGTATCAAACTCAAACTCACCTCTTATTGGCTGATGAAAGACTTGCACTTTCGGTTCGATACATTTGGGAGGCACCAGGTTGGAGAAAGGCTGGATTAGATACTTTAAGAGATTATGATTTTAGCATTAGACACTATGTAGCCTAATACTGCCCAAATTACCATCGAGCAGATGATTAATCTGAACTACTCTGGA